CCTATGGGAGCTATACAAAACGGTAAACAGTTTTTCCGTTCAGATTTAGATTATAGCGCTTAGATTTAGATATAGCTCCCAAATATATTTTCGTCCGATTTAAGGTAAATTGTGTACCAAAGTCACTACATATCTTTCGATTTGCATGAAATTTGGCATAGCGTACTGAATTAAGTCTAGAATAATGTGTGCACAGTTTCGTGAAAATCGGTTCAGATTTAGATATAGCTCCCATATATATCTCCGTCCGATTTAAGGTAAATGGTGCACCAATGTCCCTATATATCTTCCGATTTGCACAAAATTTGGCAAAGCGTACTGAATTATGTGTAGAATGAGGTTGTTAAGCTTCGTTAAAAGATCCATAGCTAGGCCGATTGACACATCGTACTGAAGTAATATTAATTAGTCTCTGGTAAATTTCTCTGAAATCGGTTCAGATATAGATATATAGCATTTCCAGATTAAATGAAACCTTTTACAAATTAAATGAAACCTTTTCCAAATGAAATGAACCCTTTTCCAAATTAAATGAAACCTTTTCCAAATTAAATGAAACCTTTTCCAAATTAAATGAAACATTTTCCAATTAAAATGAAACCTTCTACAAATAGAATGAAACCTTTTACAAATGGAATGAAACCTTTTACAAATAGAATGAAACTTTTTCCAAATTAAATGATACCTTTATTCTTACCCAAGGAAATATAATATTTGCAGTAATTTTAAACCAATATTTGAAAATTAAATCAAAGAATATTAACAAATATAGTTGTATGGCTATGCAATTAACATAAATATTCTTTAATTCGGTGTGGTTTTATTTAATATCCTTACTAAATAAAACTAAATAAATAGTAATACAAACTGGGGTATTTCTTGACATTTTAATAAATAAGGTAACTGCTTATCTTAATGAAGGGGTTCCCGACTTTCAGCTTGTGGGATTTTCAAAACCATTTCCATAACGTAGTTGGAACAATCTTGCCGAGTTAGCTTTTGAATACTTCGCTCGATTACATCAACAATGTTATGTTCCATTGAAACATCACACAGCTCAGCTCTTGCACATAATTTTATTTTTGAAAATGCATTTTCGATTGGATTTAGCATTGGAGAATCAGGCGGTAAGAATTTAAGGTTGCATCTTTTGGATTCGATCAAATTTCTTATGTCATGTCGCTTGTGTATTTGAGCGTTAATTTTCCAACACTGGATTGATTTTCTCCAAAAAAAAAATTCTATAAATAATTTAAATCTGTCTGCATTGACACTGGGATTAGAAACGATTGTGTGATGTACAACTCCCGCGTTGTTTATTGCTGCAATTATAGTGACTTTACGACCTCTGACCGTAGGCAACGCAATGTGTGCTCTTGTTCCTTGTCTTGAACGGGCTTGGGTTCTTCGTATGTGAAGATTAAATCCACACTCATCAATGAATATTGTTGGGATATCCATTTTGTAAAGTCTTGAGCATATTTTTGTCTCAAGCCTAATGTTCTGGAGTCATTCATTCGTTCTATTTCAATAGAGGCCATCTTCAACGTAATTTTTAATTTCCGTAATCCATTTTCTATGCAGCTTGTGGAAATATTTATATCATTTTCTCTCAACAGTTTAGTTTTTATGGCTTTGAGGGTAATTCCAGGTTGACTTTCTATATAGAACTCGATCAGACTTACAACTTGTGGTGTCAACAACTTAGTTCTATTTCCTCCACGCTTATTTTCCTTCAATGTTCCAAAATTTTGTTTGTATCTTCTTATTAATGTTTTTGCTGAATTAATTTTTATGCAGGTTAAATTTGCAGCCTCGGAAATGGTTCTCCCCTCTTCATAGAATTTAAATAATAACAATTTCATGTCTTTTGTTATTTTGTTATACTGACCCAATTTGTTTCGGGGTCTTGTAGATGTAGCTTCGGTAGGTTCTGGAGCATTTCCACTTGCAATACTTGGCGAGGATATTGATTCTTCCTCAGGTTCCCAATTATCAGAGCTTCCCGAGCTAAAATCAGTTTTAAGTCTGATCGAGTTCTATATAGAAAGTCAACCTGGAATTACCCTCAAGCCATAAAAACTAAACTGTTGAGAGAAAATGATATAAATATTTCCACAAGCTGCATAGAAAATGGATTACGGAAATTAAAAATTACGTTGAAGATGGCCCTTATTGAAATAGAACGAATGAATGACTCCAGAACATTAGGCTTGAGACAAAAATATGCTCAAGACTTTACAAAATGGATACCCCAACAATATTCATTGATGAGTGTGGATTTAATCTTCACATACGAAGAACCCAAGCCCGTTCAAGACAAGGAACAAGAGCACACATTGTGTTGCCTACGGTCAGAGGTCGTAAAGTCACTATAATTGCAGCAATAAACAACGCGGGAGTTGTACATCACACAATCGTTTCTAATCCCAGTGTCAATGCAGACAGATTTAAATTATTTATAGAATTTTTTTTTTTTTTTTTTTTGAGAAAATCAATCCAGTTTTGGAAAATAACGCTCAAATAAACAAGAGACATGACATAAACAATTTGATCGAATCCAAAAGATGCAACCTTAAATTCTTACCGCCTTATTCTCCAATGCTAAATCCAATCGAAAATGCATTTTCAAAAATAAAATTATGTGCAAGAGCTGAGCTGTGTGATGTTTCAATGGAACATAACATTGTTGATGTAATCGAGCGAAGTATTCAAAAGCTTGCTCGGCAAGATTGTTCTAACTACGTTATGGAAATGGTTTTGAAAATCCCACAAGCTGAAAGTCGGGAACCCCTTCATTAAGATAAGCAGTTACCTTATTTATTAAAATGTCAAGAAATACCCCAGTTTGTATTACTATTTATTTAGTATTATTTAGTAAGATATTAAATAAAACCACACCGAATTAAAGAATGTTTATGTTAATTGCATAGCCATACAACTATATTTGTTAATATTCTTTGATTTAATTTTCAAATATTGGTTTAAAATTACTGCAAATATTATATTTCCTTGGGTAAGAATAAAAGTTTCATTTAATTTGGAAAAAGTTTCATTCTATTTGTAAAAGGTTTCATTCCATTTGTAAAAGGTTTCATTCTATTTGTAAAAGGTCTAATTTTAATTGGAAAATGTTTCATTTAATTTGGAAAAGGTTTCATTTAATTTGGAAAAGGTTTCATTTAATTTGGAAAAGGGTTCATTTAATTTGGAAAAGGGTTCATTTAATTTGGAAAAGGTTTCATTTAATCTGGAAATGCTATATAACAAACAGGCGACGTCTGTTAGAATACATATGTAGACTATACCCAAAATGGTGAAGGGTATCATATAGTCGGCCCAGTCCGACTTTACTACTTTCCTTACTGGTTTAGATTTTTCTTGTGATATGTGGCGTCCATAATCAGGCCTTGACATAAGAAATCCAAAGAATGCATATCTACTAGCTGTATAATAAATATAAGCTCTAAAACATTTTGTTGTCTGTGGGCAAAATTGGGCCACAAAAGATTAATAATTTTTTAAATTCTCTACTCAATGAGAATCCCAAATGTTAAATTGCTACCAAATTGGTTGAAAGACTAACTCAAGCTTCCCAAAATACCGATCTTTAGGGAGTTGCGTTATTTATAATATTGATAATTTTTAGTAGGAAGATTTACTATCATGTTACAATCTAAATTAACAAATTACAACCAATTTGGTCGAAAAATGTACAAAAAAAAACCTCAAAATATCGAATATTGGTGAATACCGTTATATGACGAAACGTAAGCCTATATTGATAATTATTTGTGGGCAGGCCCAAATTAATTGATCCTTTCGGTACCTAATGAAAACTAAACAACGTGTGAAAATCCGCATCATACCGAATATGTGGGGGTATGGTTATATGAGGACTATACCAAAACGTGGACCTATATACTACATTTGCAATACAAGTCTACATTTGCAAGTCTAAATTTTTACACCTTTATATCAAGTATTGCGGTCTGTATCGTGAACAAACAGACAAACGGAAACGCATATCTTGACATAAAATTTTGATCACAAACATATATTCTTTATGGGTTCACCTGCCTTATGGTGGAGGGTATAATGATGGGGGTCAATAAAATCTGCTGTAACATATCACTCCTCCACGAAACTCACTTCACCAATTAAACGACCATTGTCAATCAATCAAAAAAAGGTTCCATTGGAGAATATGCATAGAATCACTTCCTGAGTCGATTTATGCATGTCCATCTGTCCGCCCGTCCCTCTGACCAAGTTAAATTTTTAACAATGTGCAGGTCGCATTTAATATCCGAATTTTGCACAGATAATTTATTTGCTCCATGGACGAATCCTATTGAAATTGATGAAAATCGTTCCAGCTTTAGATATAGCTTTCATATATATTTTCGATTTTTAGCAAATGGTGCACTAAAGAGTCAAATTTGGGTCGATTGACACGAAATTTTGCACAACGTACAGAAGTTAGGATAGCTTAACGTGTGCCAAGTTTTATTTAAATCTATTCAGATTCGGATATAGCGCCTATATATATTTTCGGCCGATTTCATGTCAATGGTCTATAAAAAGTTAAGACGCATCTCTTGAATACAGCAAAAGTGGTAAAGGGTATCTGATCTGTCTGACTTTACTACTTTTTTTACCGGTTTTGTAACAATTTTTTATCTTAAAAGCAAAAATTGTAATAATTGTCTATACCTTTACAACACTGTGGTATAGGCAGACGCAGAGGATGGTGGCAGGGAGCCCGGCCGATATTACTTAGGCCCTATACTGAATTAGATATAAACTTAACCACACTGTGATATCAGTGGGGACGTTCGCAAGGGGTGGTGTCAGAGTGGCTGGCCCTGCCACCAATCGGAGGAATTCATAAAAAGTGGAGGCATGATAAAGGCATTATTTAAGGACATTCATCCGCCAGATTTTTCTTAGAAATACTCGCTATCACTGGACATCGTCTGAGTTCGACTCTTGTCACAATGTTTGACACCGGGTGGCAATGTTATTTATGTCCTATACCGCAACTGTTTATACCCTTCACCATACTGTGGTATAGGCAGGGACGTATGCAAGAGGTGACGGCAAGAAGCCCGTTCTCCCCAATTTAATTTATTTTTGAATCAGCGCTATGACCTTAAATCGATTTAGGTATGTCCGTCAGTCTGTGTGCCCTTGTTTTCTAGTATGCAAAATACAGGTCGGATTTACGGATCCGAATTGTATAGAATTTGGTATAACTAATATGTTTGTCCCAAGAACGAACCCTATTTAATCAGTTCAGATTAAGATATAGTTCCAATATATATTTTCGCCTGATTTAGGACCTAGCATAGAAAGTGTATTAATTGTTTTAACCATTTCAGATTTTACGATACACAAAATTATACATAGCATGTTCAATAGAATGTGTGCTAAGTTTTGTTAAAAGCGGTTCCAATTTAGATTTAGCTCCCTTATATATTTTCGACCGATTTTATATAAATGGTGTGTCAGATGCACAAAGTTTGTCCAATTGCGATGACATTTTAGACAGATGTAATACATAATTTTGTTTGAATTCACATAAATGGATCAGAGACCAGAGACCCTGTCTGCCCGATCTTACTGGTTATCTTGAAAATATTTGTCATAAAAGAAGAATTGATCCCCTGGACCACATTTTAGTTATTACAGATACCCATGCACTTCTGATAGTGAAGGACATACAAAATTTGCTATATGCGTTCGTTTGTCACTTGAAAAAAAAAAACAAATCCAATCTATGGAGATTTGTTTTTGACAAATCTGTCTCAAAAACCCACATGCATTGATTTAGAAAGCTACTTTAAATCAACTTCTAACAGATATACTGGCTTATCTATCATTTGTCCATATCCTTTGCCACTAAATCACAAAAGCCTACGGAATCAGCTTCTGTCTGTTTGTGGATTGAATGAACGAATGCATGAATGAATAACTCAAGTCTCTGGCCAAATGATGTTGGTGTTTTTGAATTATCACCTTTATGTCATTGCCAGGGGCCAAGAACAGTAGCAGTAGCAGCAGGAGCAGATACACTCAAAGATCAAAAAACCATAGAAATCATGTGTCTGTCTGTGTATCTGTGTGTGTATTTGTAGAATTCCCCCGGCAAAGATTTTGAATACCAATCTCTAACAATTGTTGTTGTTTTCTTTGTTTGTTTCAAATGCTGATGATGATTTTTACCATTTTACCTTAATGCTGGCTGATGTTGTTTTTTTTTTCTTTTTGTGTTTTACTCTTTTCTCATCATCTTCATGTGTTTTTTCTTTTCTCGTTTGCTTTTATGTCATTGCAGTTTGTAACCGCACCTATTATGGCGACATTGGACGAACGTACTCCATTAAGGTGCCAACACCACAGTGGAATAAACTCCCGTTTCTGTGTCACTTAACATTCACAGCATCAGGACACGATCAAGGTGACATTGTACAGGTAAGTGTTGTGGTTTCAGATATAATGTGTGTGTGTGTGTATATGTAAATGTACATAGTTAAGGACAACGATTATAGCAAAGGAAAAGGATTTTTACCGCAGATATTCTGAATAACAACATGACAACGACAAAAAATAACAATCACACACACACACTTACAAAAAGAACTCATACACACACAAATCTGTGGATGATAAGAATGATGAAGATGTATGACATAAACATTATATAGGTATTGGGGAGAGCGGGTGTGTGTATATGTGCGCATGTATTACGTGCTTATGCTTATGCATATATGAAGGATTTTTCGGTGACAGCATTTTTTCGAAACGCATGCAAATGACAAGAAGTTTATTAAAGGGGAAACAGGAATGGCATTCTTAACCATGGAATTGGCCTCAATACCGGCTGCTACTGTTGCTGCACACCACTTAAAGGGCAAATGATACGTGTGGGTGTAATGCTCAAAAAGGGTGGGTATTATGTTTTTAAAGAAAAGAAAAAGGACTCCTACCCATGCAACGGAAAGATAATTATTCAGGCACACGCCTTTAAACAACAATAATTGGTGATCTTGAAAGGCCGGAGTTTTTGAGTACCAGTAAGTATAACTGACTGAGTCGGCATTCATTTTATGTCCTCAATAGATAGGATGTCTCTTGTTTCCTGAAGTTTGGGTCGAGTCGAAACTAACTCAAAATTCGGATAGCAAGGTGGCTCGTAACAAGTAGAAGAAATCGAGGTAGACCCATGGCTACATTTGATAGATCCATTAGAATTGACATTGCCTTCATATAAAGGTCCCAGTATTTTGAAGACTTTAGTCAAGTTTTCAGCTTATGCTGCTGCTATTTGGCAATCCGGGTTCTTGGGGATTAAAACATAACATATATTCCATTTTCGGAATTATTAACCGAAATTTCTCATCGAAGTGGCCATAATTTGGCATATCGGATTCCAGGCCATAACCATATCACCTTTAATTTTCGGAATATTTAAGTTCCAACTCCAGTTTTACAACCTGAGTGGTACATTATTTTTTATTAAAGCATGAACAATCTTCTACAATAACATATACCCCATATACAAGTTCCTGACTGATTTTAAGAATTTTGAATGCACACCACATCGTGGATGGGAATAAAAAGTCCTGCCCAGCCGACCTGGAAACTGGAAGAGAAGCTCCTTCCCCATATAGCCAATGTGGTGTAGTGATCCATAGAGTCGGCCAGTCAGACGAATGTCCCTATCACACCACATTGTGGTGGGTATAAAAAGTCCTGCCCAGTCGAACTTAGGAGTGGTGGTGTAGGGCGCCATATAGTCGGGCAGTCAGTACCATGTCCCTTTCATACTGGTTTACATGGAAATAAAAACAGCTTTAAGGTCAAGGTTACAAAGACAGGTTCCCTTTCCAACTTTTTAAAATACCTTCTCGTTATTATTTTCGGCCACATTGAATAAAAACCGTCACAGTCGTAATGATGTAATTATATTAAAACTTATTTCCGGAAGGACACTCAAGGATGATATAAAAAAATCTGCCTTTTGTCATTGAACAATGAACCCTGTTTAGTCTTCCGTTCCCCCCCCCCCCCCCCCCCCCAAAAAAAATAACAGATACCATTCACCTAAACATCCCCTCCATTTAAGAGCTGTTTGTCTAACCCACTGACTGACATATGTCACGTACTGAAAGTGTGCCAACACAAGATTATGCCCTTGTCACTGTCAGAGCTTACCTTTAACTAACTGCTACTGTCTTCGAATTTAACATACGTTTCCTAGCGAAAAAAAAAGAAAACAAAAATCCCCAACTCATTGTTGTTGTTTGTTAACGAAATCATGATAACCCCTGCCGTTCAAAATACAAAATCACAACAATAGCAACAACAACAAAAATACCAAAATCAACTACAACAATAACTAGAAGTTTACACTACTTGTAGATGGCGATAACCTGTAAGAGACACTCACCACGCCACACCACACTACCGACCAACCGACTACACTTATTTGACATGACCCCCACGAAAGCTTTTACGCTAGGAAACTAGCAGAACTGCCAGACTGAAAATCACAAAAACCAAAACAAGTATATTTAGGGGAACCAAAATTGTTAAAAACAAATATATATAAACAAAAGTTGTATTTTTTACTTCTATATATAAATATTTAAATGGAGGGAATAGGGGAGAACAAAAGTTCCAACTCCTGTTATGTTTAATAATTTGTTGTGAACTGAAAGTTTTGAGCAGTTAAGTGTGATACAGTTATGGTATGTCATAGTGCTGTTATGTTCATTTTTATTCCTGGGGGATTTCCTAAAGAATGTGTGTAAAAGAATGATGATGGTGGATCGATAAAAAAGGTGAAAAATTTCATAGAAAAATTTCCCAGTTTCAAGTTTTCCATATAAAATACCGAAATTCTCCAGGAAAAATTACACATCTCTCAATTTTTTTCACGAAATTATTTAAAATGGTAAACATTTGTATAAACAACTTAAAAGGTCGTTAAGTTCGGTGTGCATTCAAAAATTTTAAAAAGGTCGGAAATTTCATATGTCTATTGTGTCATTGTGCATGTACAAGTCTGCCAGTATAGATATTTATTTGGGAAAATGATAAGCCAACTAACAGATACATATATAAAGAAAACTAAACAACGCGTTTGTATTCGAGCAATGACAAAATCATAAAATATTTCTGTAAAGAAGGTTTTTTAATCAGTAACCTGGGTGGTGCACTCTGTACACCAAACAACACAGGTTACTCGCCTACGCAGATGACATCGACATAATGGGTCGAACTTTGAGAGCGGTAACAGCCACATTTGAACAAATTGAGAAGGAGTCTGCCAAAGTGGGTCTGGCAGTAAATGGCGAGAAGACCAAGCTGATGGTATCAACGCGCAAGACGTCCAATAGACTCGGACCAACTGTCTAACTTGAGAACTACAGCTTCGAGGTAGTCAAAGATTTTATATACCTTGGTATCGCCATAAAAAAACGAATGACATCAGTTTTGAAATTCGAAGAAAGATAGCGATGGCCAACCGATGCTACTATGGTCTGAGCAAACAAGTCAAAAGCAAGGCCACCTTCCGCCAGACCAAACTCACACTCTACATGACACTGATACTACCAGTGCTGTTATACGGATCTGAAGCATGTGTACGTACGCAAACAAATGAGGTAGCTCTTGGAGTGTTTGAGAGAAAACTGCTCCGAAAGATCTATTTGCCGATCTGCGTTGACGGTGAATATCGCCGTCGAATGAACCATTAGCTGTACCAGCTATTCTCGGACATCGACATTGTAAGACGTATTGAGCTGCAGCGACTACGTTGGCAGCCCAGAAGGCATATAAAAGCAAACCAGCTGAAGGTTCACGCACAAGGAGATGGCCAAGAATATGTTGGAAAGATCAAGTCGAAGACAACATCGCCGGAAATGATCCTTTACATTGGAAAAACTGCGCAAAAGACCGACGCGCCTGGAAATAATTTTTATGCCCGGTTTATGGAATGCAAGGAAAATTATCAGAAAAAATGAAACCTTTATATGGCGACTAGGTCTAAAAAACATTTCTAGAACATTTTATGCGTAAAATTGGCGAGCTGCATCAAAACGTCAACCTAAGTTCATAGATTTCGGTAAGAAGATTTGACATCCCATCAGAACCTGAAAATCAATTAAAGGGGATCGTCCGTCCATGTATTTTTGTGTGCAAAGTACAGGTTGCATTTATGATCCAATTTCTATGAAATTTGGCAAAGGTCACTTGTTTGGCCCAAGAGCGAAACCTATTAAAATTGAAGAAAATGGGTTCAGCTTTAGATATAGCTCCCATATATAGTTTCGTCAGATTTTATGAAAATGGTGCATCCAAATCCCAATGTTTATCCAATTGAGACAAAATTTTGCGCAGAGTTCTGGATTTAGATATAGCTTGATGTTGATGTATATTTTGAGGTATTTTCATCATTCAGAAAAATATTTTATATCTCAGTAAATCTTTGTGAGTTGGCACGTTTTTAAGCCGAATTTGATTTGGTACTCCCCAAGATATAGGGCAATGGATGTATCGTTCATTTTTGGTAGCAACATTTTTTTACATAATATGTTGTTATTGTTATAGATTTCCCTATTACAACATTTATTGAGATATAAAATATTTTTCTGGGTGATGGAATTACCTCAAAATAAATATCAAATCTGGTAGTCGTTATCTCAGTTTTAAATGTTTTTTTTCCAAAACAATCCGCATGTTAGAAATCCTTGGCATTAGAATGACAATGAAAATACGTCACATTGTCGGATAAAATCATACGCCAGAGTTACAATTTGCCTTATATTCCCATTGAATGTGAAAAAAGAGGGTAGAGTGTGATTGTCCTCTTTTTTCGGCGGTAAAGTAATTCCATATTCACACCATCCTTAGAGTGTTACAAAATAAAGAAAACAACCTGCTGGTAGTTGTCGCCTAATGTTCATGTCACTGTCGCCTGAAATGATGTTATCATTATGTTAGGCAAAAAAGCGGAGTAACGCGCGCGCACACATATACATTTCCATTTTGATGTTACATTTTACATGGAAAAGTGTAAGAGGCAGTTTATCCCGTGTACTTATGTGATGCGTGTGTGTTTGCGGCACAAATTTACAAAATTACATATTTATGTAAAACTTCCAGACCCCTTAGATATTTTCATTGGATTTTGTCGTATATACCATATTTAGAAGATATGAATCTTCTGATAATATCCCTGGGAGTCGTAGTTTTATCAACGTTCCTTATGTATATCTGGCCTAATCAGTGTTGCCTAGCGTCATACTATAGTCATACTCATCTGTATCTTATATTATCAATGTTTCGGGGTAGCCCCCATATAACGGTACCCCCAATATTCGGTATTTTGGTTTCATTTACACAGAGTTCATCATAAGGAAAAATATAAAAAGAGCGACCTGTTCTTTTTTACAAAAAAATACATG